GAAAAAAATTTTGTTACCACCATTGCATATCAAGTTGGGCCTAATGAAAAACTTTGTCAAGGCATTAGATAGAGATGGGTCAGCTTTTCAATACCTGTGTCAGAAATTTCCAAGACTAAGTAAGGCAAAGGTTGAAGAAGGTATTTTTGTTGGGCCACAGATTCGAAATATTTTGAAAGATACACAGTTTGAAAACACTTTAACAGGTATTGAAAAAGCTGCTTGGAATGATTTCCGTCTGGTGGTCACTAATTTCTTGGAAAGTAGAAAAGCTGACAACTATAAAACCCTTGTCAAAAATATGCTGTCATCGTATCAAAAGATGGGCTGTAATATGTCTCTTAAGATACATTTCCTACACTCACACCTGGACTTTTTTCCTGACAATTGCGGAGCCGTAAGTGATGAGCACGGCGAACGTTTTCATCAGGATATTTCAACAATGGAAGAAAGGTACCAGGGAAAGTCGAATCCTTCCATGCTTGCAGACTACTGTTGGACTCTTGGTAGAAATGCTCCAGAAACGATCCATAAAAGAACAGCAAAAAGACAGCGCATATAGTACTTATAAGTATATGAATCTTGTTACTTTTTTTAATATATCCTTAAAAATAAAAAGTTTTTTTTCTAAACCGCAACTAATTTTTTTATTTCATTGTCATTTTTGGATTCAGCGCCCCAAAATTAACAAAGAAGTGCACTTTTCCCACAAGATACAATTAAAAAACTAAAATTTGTTGTCCAGTGTTTAACTGTGGATGTTTTTTCTACTTACTACGCTAAATAGATATATGTACATCACAGGAAACCATAATGCTCATTTCCATCGGTCTGTGTGTCTGTCCGCCAATCTTTGGCCCGTCTATATTTTGTAAAATATGTACCCCTTAGATTTGGACGAAATTTTTACACAAGGTTACTACTATGTGAAGGACGAAGAAACTTTGTAGTTTTTGAAACTCGGCTCAGTTGATTATTCATACGCTCCCAACCTCGGTACTAGATATTCTCCACACATCATTATCTATTTCGTACATTTGCCTTAAATTAAAACCTTAGAATGATGACAGATGTTTTCAATACGCGTCTCTAATCAAATCCAAGCGAATAACCAAAATTTCTGTGTTTTGTGCCGCGGTTATAATATGGTTCGAGATGACACACGGGTTGATGACGTCGGTTACACGAATCGCTTGAACGCGTTGGTTTTAACCGCGGTTTTGTTGCAAGTTGTTTATTTTAGAAAAGCGCGTATATAATCTCTGATTATTTTTATTATCACTTAGTAATCGGTGCTTTTTCGTCTACAACTGTAAATATATGGAAAGTTTAAATAAGAAACCTTTCATAATATTCATGGGAGAAATGTTTTTTTCAGATTTTTTTTTAATGATGGGACCATGGCTTTGTAGCTATGATAACTTTCAATTCTCTAAATTTTTCCGCATGTCAAAGAAAACATTTATTGATTCAGCAGAAATGATGAAAAAAGAAATTAGCAAAACCGTATACAGGTGGATATCATTTAGTGAGTTTATATGGCCATATTTTAATATTCTTGTGGTATATGGCTACACAGGATACGTTGTTAAGCATATGAACTACATTTAAAATGTCCCCAACAACCGTAATGAGTATAACTAATAAGGTGCTCCACTTTATGGTAAAACTGAAGTCAGCCTGTATCATTTTTCTGAAAAATGAAGCTGAAGTACAATAACAATATCCAATACCCGGCAAAATTCTAACTTGTCACATTTCAAATAATAACCAGAAACATAAAACTACTCTTGAGTTGGGTAAATACCACAGTTTTGCGGTGATAACTATGACATATAACAGCTGATTCGTGACGTCACGGATCTTATAACCAAACTGATAACTACACTCGCTTGAACGGATTGGTAAATACCAACCCAAAATGGTAAATACCATTTCCATTTGGTTATCCGCTTGAATTTGATTTCTGTTTCTGCTATTAGGGTCTACCCTCGCGCGTGGCGGTCTTTTTGATTGGCCTGCCAGTACTGCAGCGGAGCCGCGCTGAGCGCCGCTGCCTTGTGCGGTCAGGTGGAGAAAGGAGCGTCGTTGCCAGATGGACAGTACTACCGGTAGGCCAGGGAAAGAGTAGATATGTCTGACTGTCTTGATGGTTCACTCTCACTGTAAAACAAGTTCGTAACTAACTTTTTTCTCAGAGGGCTTGTTATAAACATACTAATTTATTAACTCATGACGGACTTGTGTGGGAAGAGCAGAGTGAACCTACCAGACGGCATTTCTTTTTGTCATACTTTCATTGACGCGTCGTTTTACGGATCGCTATATTCCAAGGTAAAATTAATAACGAGTTCCTTAGAATTTCCCATGATTATTTCTTTTATTATAATTAAGAAGCATCAGACTTTATATATGTATTTCATCAAGCTTATTCATTTTCTTATATACCTCAAGTGATTTAGTTTTTCAAAGGGGGCTTGGAAGTCTGCAAACACAAAAATTACGAGCTGCGAGCAGTCTGTAATGAATGAAGTCTAGACGTCCATCGGTTGCCAATATTGTGATTTTATAAAACTAATTTCAGCCATCAGCATTTCTCCACTGCTTTGTCCAAGTCTTGTCCAAATCTTGGCAACCAGTTACAAAGTTGTCAGTTAAAAGGTATAATTGTAGTGAGCGTTCTTGGCGGTTACGTCATTAACGCTATATGAAATAAGTGAACAGATCGAGTCTCCGGGGAGTCTATGGGCAGAACACAGCACAGACTAATCTTCAGAGCATCTGCTACTCTCTCCAGTACGCATGAAGTGGGTAACAGGGGACCGCTGTTTTCATTCTCTTCCTGGACACACTAATAAATTTAGCACGAGCTGTCGGCTTTCTCTGTATTTCCGGGCATTATAGAATTTTTTATTGAAGATTGATAACAGGACGAATTGCACGCCGATGAAGTTGTCACTCTGAAATGTGATTGAACGGCACTCATACGTAACGACAAAGTTTTCGAGACGGAGAAACACAAATAAAAAACGAATGCTACTGAGCTTACCGAACAAACGTACACACACATGGGTAGGTTGCATGTGTATGTATGAGGTAGATGGTGATATATAAAGAGATACTGGTAGCCTTACTATGAATAGAAAATAGTTGTAGGTTAATTTGCTTCAATAATTCATTACTGCCAAATGCAGTCTACCAACAAATACAATACAGTAATCTACTACGCCACTGGGCGAGGAAGTATATTAATCGCGAACAAATGAGATACTATGTTCTTTCTATGATCACGGAAAACCATATCGCTCATTTCCGTCTGTCCATATCGCCCGGATTTGGACAAAATTTTTACACAAGGTTGCTACCATTCCAAGGAGTAAAAAGCTTTGTAGTTTTTGAAGCTCGGTTCAGTGGTAGTGGAGCTGGGGGTAAAAACACGAAAATATAAGAATCGTCCAAACTTCATCGTTTGACGTGTCAGAAGGTCGTGATTATTTTCACACAACTTTTTGCAGATGTTAAAAATGGGGGGTTGGGGGTTGTAAGGTGTGGGTGCTGGTATGTCCCAATTTTTTGATGTTAGTATATTTATACGCTCTCACCCCCGGTAATTTTATGCACCTACGAAATATACTCCACAAATTTGCCTTTCAAACTTAGAATGATGAGAAATATTTTCGATACACGTCTGTTTCTGCTATCTGGGCTTACCGGTGCGCCTGCCGTTGTTCCAAGGACCGTTATATTTCAAGGTGGAATAAACAACAAAATCCTTAGAATTTCCCATGATTAATACGTTTATTATTCTTAAGAAGCAGCAGACTTTATATATATATATATATATATATATATATATATATATGTATTCAAGAGGGGCTTGGAAGTGGGCAAATACTAAAAATAATAAAGTGTAACTGTCCTAGACCTCCATCAGTTGAAATATTGTGAAATTATAGAGATAACCTTAGCCATCAGCATTTCTCCGCTGTTTCGTCGAAATCTTGCGACCGGCCACACAGTTGTCAGTTATCCGTTACGTGTTACGAGTCATCCTGATTTCATTAATATATGTAATAAAAGTGCAACATTAAAACGTTTCTTTCAATGTAATTATCACTCATCAGACATGGATCAAATCTGACTCTAGATGACAACAAACAGCAAGCAATATAACGCAGTGACAAAAAAAGTTGAAAGTTCGAGCTACAATGCAGTCTTGTGACTGCTGCGCTGTCGCTCGACGTCCGACAAGTGCTGACTCAAAACATTTTTATAATTTCCTACTACCTTTAGGGCTTTCCTTTTCAGATACAAGTACGTTCGAAATACGACAGGTAATTTGCGTTAAAAAGCACCGAAAACGTAAAGACGAAATTGCAAAAAGACACTCACTATTATCCTAGTAAGTAATTTCAAGTACCGCCCTGTCACATGTTTTGTTTGTAAATAATATTTGGATTCGATTCAAAAGCACGAGTACTTTTTCCTAATTTTGAAACATTTAGGACTGCCTAGGTCTTCTACTATGGCTATCCAGACGGCTTATCACTATATAAACAAGCTTGCGCAAATCTGATGGACGACGTTCTGAATTCCCTCGCGTTTTATTAATAGGATCTTGAAGACGTTCACAGTGAACTAATATCAAATCAATAACTATGTTATTGTTCTGGGAATGTGCTAATTTCGGTTACTCAAATGTGACTTGCTCATAAACGGGGTCTTATTTGGATAGTGACCCACACAGTACCACAAAACATCATACCTTTTCACGGAGGACGAGAACGGGGTGGAGGCAGGGTCGGGCTGGCGCATTTGGAGTTTTTTTCGGAACTTGATATCTCGGTTATCTTAAAGCTTTGATATTTTTACTGCTAGGAAAAGTTGTTTATTATTGCAAGTCCCATACGCTTTGTAAAGGAAAGGTCTAACTTTGAGAACACCGAATGTATACAGTAAAATTCTACTGCCTCAAAATAGGTACACTTATCGGCATAAACTTACCTCAAGTCATGTCCAGCTTCTGCTCTGACCAACCGAGTTTGAATGGAACCTCTCAAGATTGTGCCCCCCTCTCCTGTAACGTGGAGCGTTTCCGATCCCACAAGCACTTCTTTCCTATTCGCCGAGAATAATAGTGATCCTCGGTCATCCATGATTTTGAAATTATTTGTTAAACATTCTAGTCTATCGTTTTCTGTAACAAAGGAAACAATATTTTTTATATAGCAAGTAGAGAAGCATTATCGTTATTTTTTGTACAAAATGGTGGAAAACTGACGTGTATGTAGTAAAGACTTAAATACAGTGAAATCCATATACCACTGGCGTCGTAATGTGTACGGGAGAGAAGCGCGAGAAGCTGTGGCTTGTCGCGTTGCCATCGGCAGGGTATTACGTATCTTGAAAAGTGACATAATGTCGTTTTTTGACATTATATAGGTTTTTTCCAGAGATTATATAGGTTTTTCTACAAGATGTAAACTTAGCACTAGCTGTTCTACACTTGACGTGTTTCTCGTTCCGTAGCTGTACGAGTTGCCTCAACTTCATGATGCTCCAGCTATCAATGTTTGCATACTAGGAACTATCTAGGCGATAAGTTAACATTCTTTAGTTTTTTTTTGACCTTTTGAGCTTTTTACGTAAACACCTTGCCGCGCACTCCATCTATCATACTCCGTCACATACACATTACGGCGTGACCAAAGTTTGAACCTCACCGTACGTCGCAACATCGAGATTTTAAATGTATGTCGTCGTTACATTTTGGGAATCTGGTATGAACTTTTCAGAGTAACTAGTGAATGTTATGATACAAGTGAAAATAGCAATTAATGTGCTAAAGGTCTACTACTATGGAAGATCCACTGCAATACAAAGTTTATAAAATGTGATACCATTGAAGAGAACTTTATTTAACAGATCTAGAAAAAAATCGGCACTTCCCGTGTATTTGGGTACCTGCTTACACAATCCTATTATCGTGATGACACTATATTCTTAAAGTAAAAGATTACTTACCTAATACTAATCTACTACTTAGGTACCCCTCCTTGTTCCTGGATTTCAAGGTGAGGTTCTTGGTTGATTCTATTACAATGGGCTGGTAACTCCTAGATTTTATACTACTTGCTATAAGGCTGTCTAAAACGAACGCTTTTCCGTCCAGTCTCACTCCTCCTGTTACTATTTTAAGTTGCCCCATTCCTTCCTGTAACAAAATATTCCATATTATTTTTTTATATTGCGCGCACAGCTAGGTAACATACATAACGCTGGCTGAATAGGATTTGTTTGCTTTTCGTCAACCATAACCAACCAAATACCATGTTGTTTCATGCTGTTAAGCAATAATCAGTAAGGTATAAGTCCAGCCGTTTGACGGATGAAAGAAAGGAAACAAGTACATCTGGGTCTACTGAAAAGCTCAGTAGCCAAAGCCAAATTTCTCCAAATTGCTGGAGATCATATTGGATGATAGAATTTACTTCGCAGTTCATAGACATATAGCAAGGATTTCTTACTAAAAGATCCACAGTAACTAATTTAACAATCGTTACTTAGTTGAATGTGTCGATCGCGAGGTCAACAAGATGTAATACCTATACACAATAGTGATTTTGCTAAGGCGTTCGATATGGTATGGTATGGCAGACTTTTAAATAAGCTTTGTGATTATGGATTCCATTCATCAGTTTTAGCACTCATCCAAACTTATATTTATTTATTTATATATTGATGAAAGGAAGCAATTTGCTACTTTCAATGGCTTTACCGTACCAGTATGTAACTAAATCGGAAGTGCCTCAGGGTTCAATCCTTGGTCCTTTATTGTTTACCTTATCAATTGATGATGTTGCTCAATATTTAGGATGTAATGTTTGCGGAAGATTTAAAATTATTCAGGATTATTCAATCTAAGGCTGATTGTATTGCATTTGGGCGGGATATTGATGCTTTAGTAGCTTGGTGTGAAGTGTAGTTAGCTTTTCGAAGAAAACGTCTGTTTGTAACATTAATTATAAGACTGGGGATGTTTACGTAAATCGTTGTGACTCATTTAAGGATTGGGGTGTAGTTTTTGACCATAGGATTCCAGATAGCTCAAAAGGTGAGCGAAGCTTTACAAGCGTACGGTTTTTTTCTGAGAAACTGCGTAAGCTTCAGCCACCCAGAATCGCTGTTGGTTTTGTATTCTGCATATCGTCGGACATCTGACAATACCTGCTATATGCAGGAACCGTAATTTTACAGGGACGAAGAAAACCTTATCAATTTTATACTACCGGCCTTATTAAGTCTACAACTTTGGTCACAAAAAATAAATGACTTTTAACACATATTTAATGCGACTTTATCTAAATGAAGCTCTAATTGACAAAATTAGTGCAGATATCTGACATTTCTGCTAACTTTCTTTGCAGGTAGCAGATATTGGCATAAGATGGGTTTAGTGAGATTCGGGTTAGAAAACCTGTTATACATTATATCAAATCAAAAGTTTAATGCTTTTACAAATTAAAAAGATAATAGCACTCTCAGTCACACCTTAAATGATTCAGCTTCTTTCCTTGACATATGGCAAATTGTCGTAAAACAAGTGACAGTCCTTAGATATAACACTTATAATCTGAAATTACGGGTAGCTGTTTTAGTCTCATAGGCAACTCCCGAGGCTCTACACTAAAGTCTAGTTTCACTTCAATTTTTCAGTCGGGATTATAACATAGTACTTTGATGTGCGTGACTACATTGTCCCTGCCTGGTCTAATTGTTGAGTATCGCTGCACCTCTGTTCGAGAGTAGTCATTGAAGAAATCGTAGCTCAATTGGATCACCTTATATGGCTCTGGTTTTGTCCTAGCTTCTTTTGACGCCTCAAAATAGTCATTTGGTAATTTCTTAACTTTCAATAACTCTATTTCTCAGTTTTCTTTAAATGCAACTGTGTACAGAGTCACATTCCATTTGGGTGTGTTCTTTGGTGAGATATTTCTGAGAAATCACAACGTCGTGTTTCATTGCAAAGTTAAGACAAATAGCACGCGTAATTGTCAGATAGCTGGAATTGCCGCTCATTGACAGACGTGTTGCCAGTGGTAGGTATTGTTTTGGCTGAATGATTCAAAAACTAAATTTTTCTGCAGTTAGCGGACTGTATCACAATGTGCGCTGTAGGTAGACGAAGAAAAATGTGCATATACCTCAAATTGGGCAAAAATTTCAGATAGCAGGTATTGTCAGATGTCCGACGATATATCAGATCGAAGTTGGAATATGCCTCGTTAATTTGGAACCCAATTTAAAACTGCTACATTGATTCTCTTGAGAGTGTTCAGAGAAAGTTTCTAAAATTTTTACCTTTCAAGGTTGATGGTGCATATCCTGAGCATGGTATATCTTAAAGTCTGTTATTGTCTAGGTTTCAAATGCAGTCTTTTGAGCTGAGAAGGAAGTGTGCGTCAATCATTTTTTCGCATAAACTGCTGCACAACCAAATTGATGCTAATGAGCTTGTAGCTCAACGAAATGCTTTAATGCCTCATCTATTCAAACTCGTATCGTTAAAACCTTTTATTGTGGCAGGGGTTTATTTTTGAATGTACCCAAATATGCAATCTGTGAAGCTTTCAATGTCATATCTAATTATTGTCATGCTGACTATTTGAACAGCATTCCGGGAGTAGCTAGGAATTATTTAAAGAACTTATATGTTTTTCACTTGAGTGAAATATGTCTTTGATTCTTTTGTTCGATTGTTTTTTCCTTTAGATATAATCATCTGCCTTCTGTATGTCTTCTATTTTTGAGAGTTTCGTTTATCTTTTCTTAGGATGGTCCTGTGAATGGTTTTCTTAACCATTGGGCGATATACGCTATTTATTAATTTATTATTTTGCGAAGTCAATGCTGGTAGCAATACTATCCTGAGTGACGATGATACGAATATGTGGTGGACGACCTTATCTGCGTACCATACGTAGGAATCGGTACACCACTACTACTCCAAGGTGGCAGTGTCACCTTGATTCTTCGCAGATTCACAATATTCATTATCAGAATTTTAGAAATCTCTCTGATGATCTTGTCGTCCTATTTTGTGACGATAACATGCGATCTCTATATTATGCTTTCACGACTTCTCGAAAACGCTTAATGGAATAAATGGAATTGAATGAAGTTTCAGTTTGAGAGCTATTAATAGGTTCACAATCCCAGTTATATTTATATAGATATGTGTGTAGTGAATTGTGTATTTACGAGCACATCAAGCAATAATAGTTTGGTATACAACGGATAAGATTCTTGGGAGATATGAACACTTATTCGATTTTACTGTGATGGCAACATCCATAATATTCTGGCACGCACACGATACTCCCAGTTCCTGAATATTTTCTGTTCTCTTCTTTATAAGCCACATTTTTTCTTTAACTTTCGCAGCAAATCCACAGTCAAAAAGTATTGTCAGTGCCACAGATCCAAATTGTTAATTGGAAAAAACTCTTTTTAGCAGATTTTTCCACAGTATAGATTTCCTAGAAACATGAGAGCGGTCGTGCTGGCCAGTTTTACGAGTATGGTGCTCAATAAAGTTAGATTGAGGAGCGGAAGCTTCGCGGTTCTTTTAGCAATACTAGAACGTCAAGGCACCAAGGAAGATAGCGCTAATGACCAATCAATGAATGAATTAACGGGCCCTTATGCACCACTACATTTCCTAAGCCATAAGTTCCGTAACCACTTTTTACTAACTAATAATTATCAAGCATGTCAGTAATTCAAAAAATTGTCCACACGTACGAATTTCTACCTAAAAATGCTAAAATGATTTTCGCCAACCCAAATTTATAGGTTATGTACACCTCACATGTGTGAAGTGAGGACATCACCTATCGCAACAAGACTATTTCTTAGGAATCTGGCTCTAACCCTGTGCCTCATGGTCATTAAAATGTCATTTCTTGCACGATAAATCCTATGCATAGCTTCGCGAATTTTCCACTGCTTGGTCTATTTTGGGTCAGAATGAAATAGGATTTTATTTTATACCTTGAACAAACTTCAAGGTTCAACCTGACAGCTGACTGAATATTAAATGTTTATAAAATGCTTTACGTCAAGGTGAAACACATGAGCGTTTCCACTATCTCTGATGTTTTCAAATAAGATTTTTGCTTTAAGACGTTCTTTGCAGTATCGTTCTCAAATATAGTATCGAAAATAATCTTTGTAGTCCAGAAATTACCTTCGCATCTCTTTGGAAGAATATGCTGATTTTTCTGCAAAATTTCATTTAGTACGACTCTTCATCAAATATTCAAACAAGTTTTTTTAAAAAAAATAAAAAATGGTATTTGCGCTCCGGATAAAGCTTTTTAGATTTTTTTGAAAAGAGATGTAGCTGACGGCTGCGGGATACTTGATGAATATTCAGACACCTTGAAGTTATTACAATTTTCGCTTTATCGTATTGCTTTTTAGGGCCGAAAACAGCATATTTTGAACCTTTTCGAATAAAAATCGCTCATACTTCGAACACTATTAACTATAGGGAAGAGCTTGTAAGAATATTTTTTGTTCAAAATCACTCAAAAGGCCGAAAAAGATTAGAATTTTGTTTCAAAAATATTGTTTGTAGTTTGGGTCTGGCAATATACAGATTCGTTGAGAGTAGTACTTTCTGCATCAAATTATATAGAAAAACGAATCAGAATATTTTTTTGAGCAGATGCTGGACTATTATCCTTCGTTTATTATATCATTGTTAATTATTTTGTTGTAAATTGTAGCACGTCTTCCTACTTCTAATGTTCTCAAGCAAAACAGCCTTCATATGAATATTTAAGTTAGCTTTGGATATAACATTAGTTTAAATGTTACAGCTTAACCAAGCGCCTGAAAAGATTCACACTTCAAAAACAAATTTTCGTGGAGTAAGCAGGAAAATCCGTTAGTCGGAAGATTAATAGATGGAACCTGGGAGGGTCGCACATAATTTCAGATTTCACAAAGAGATCCAGCTTTGTAATTACTCTTCATTGTCACTGGAGTTCTTTTGAAATGTTGCTGGTGACTAAAATGAAGGCGTAATAAATACTGGGACAGTGGTGGAAACTAAGATTCAAAAATGGGAAACATGCAGTAATAATGAAAATTAATTATTGAACAGTTTCCAATTTTTAACCTTTGACTCTGAACTGTTACTCCTTGATATGAGTTTTTAAGTATCACACTGCATCTTGATTCTGTAGTGAAGATGGGCTAACTATTATGATTCCGGAAATTTCACTTTTAGCATAGAATTCAGCTAGAAAAGGCAAATACACATACACAAGTTGTGGTAGCCCGTAAACATATTTTTCGCCAATGTGACAAAACATATTCTCAGTTTAAGTCTAGTCTATCCTTAGAGTATTGCCAATTTCAGGTATCTGGCAGGATTTTCAAACAAATTCGTGAGTACCCTTCAACCCCCATAATACGCAACATCTGGTTTACTGACATCTATAAACTACCTCCCTGTTATCTCCAGTGTAAAAACTACGAACTTTCTTACAGGCTTGTAAATGCCTCCTCATGCCCTTTCTATCAAATTTCGTGTTCATAGGTGAAGTAGTTTTCGAAATTTCTTGATCAACCGGTATCGATAAACTACTTTTCTGACAAATTTTATATTCATAGACCAAATAGTATCCGAGATTTGGTTATTTTCACCCATGCATTATCTATCCTTAGCCCCCCATAATGCAATTCTGTCGCGAAATCCATTCTGAGGTGACATGTCTTGACTATAATGTATGTACCTCTCTGTTAAATTTCGTGTTCACAGTTTTTTTCCAGCGACTCACCAATTTGTAACATATCTTGTAAGTCTGATTGAAAGATAAGAAAAGACAACTGCATAAAAAATGTCCCAAAAGTAGCGATTTTCTACAAAATCTCAAAAATGGCGATAATGCAAAAATCGTGCACAATCGAATTAGGTTATATACAGGGTATTCATTTGAAAACTTCTCACCACTCGTTTACCGAAAACCACTGATTAAAAGAAAAAACGCCAAGACAAGTCAAAAGATTTGTCAAGGGTGCCAAATTCTTAACCAAAAGCTACTCCATTCCCTTTCACCCTCTGCCCGCCAGGGTCATCTCTCAAAAATTTTGATCTTTTCAGTTTTTTTCCAAGAAAATTAGAAAATCTTTATCTTAATTTGGTCAGACAGAAAACCAAAACACGCAAAAATAACACTTTTTATTTCAATAAGTGTTCAAAACAGTGATATATATATATATATATATATATATATATATATATATATATATATTTATAATGATGAATAAAGACCATTTATTATTATTATTATTATTATTATTATTATTATTATTATTATTATTATATAGGCGATGTTCAAATTCCGGACGGACATTTTCAAAAACATGTTATGAATATCATGGCAGCCTTCGATCATGCGTTGGCGAAGTTCATTCAAACTTTCAGGTTGGGGAGTAAACATAATAGATTTTAAATGAACCCATATAAAAATGTATAATGGCGTCAAATAAGGAGATCTAGCAGAGCATTCTACGAGGGTGGTCCCAGAAGTACCCGACCCAACGACGAAAACACAAAATTTTTGTAAAAAAATGTATTTATTTTTCAACATAAACTTCTTTGAGCTCTATACACTTTTCTCAGCTATGTTTAATTAGTTCGATACCCTTTTTATAATAAGAACTGTCTTGCTCCTCAAAATAGCCATTAACTGCCGACATCACTTCTTCATCGTTGGAAGATCTTTGACGCCTGATCCATTTTTTCAAGTTTGGAAACAGAAAATAATCCGAGGAGGCCAAATCTGGTGAATAGGGTGCATGAGGTAGGAATTCAAACTTTAATTCGTTAATTTTGGACATTGCAATAACGGATTTGTGAGCTGGTGCATTGTCTTGAAGAAACAACATTTTATTCTTAACCAAATGCGACCGTTTTTGCTTGATTTCATCGCTCAAACGTTGCAATAAGTTCGCATAATACTCGTCGTTGATAGTTTCACCTTTTTCAAGATAGTCAATGAAAATTATCCCACGCGCATCCCAAAAAACCGACGCCATAACCTTTGGAGCCGGTTGCCCCTTTTGAGTTCATTCTTTTGATTGTTCTTTTGTGTCGGGTGTGAAGTGATGGACCCATGTTTCATCCATGGTTATGAAATGAAGCAAAAATTCTGCTGTGTTGCTGTGAAACTTCGCTAAACACTCAATCGAAGCATCTTCACGACACTGTTTTTGCTCGATTGTGAGCAATCGCGGCACCCATCTTGCACACAGCTTCCTCATGTCCAACTTTTCAGATAATACGCGATGAACCGCACTTTTTGAAATGCCTAGCATGTCTGCTAGCTCACGCACTGTCAGTCGACGATGATTCAGTACCGCTTTGTGAATTTTCTTCACCATTTCTGGAGTCGTCGCCTGATTTGGTCGACCACTGCGATGCTCGTCTTGGCAGCTCATACGGCCTCGTTTAAACTCTGCTACCCAATATTTTACTGTTGTAAACGAAGGAGCAGACTCACGCAGAGTAGAATCCAGGTCAGCTTTTATATTGGTTGGGCTGAGGCCTTTAAAATAAAAGTATTGTACCACATAACGATGACCAATTTTCTTCATTTTCACAAATTCACTAAAAACGTTCAGTATTGGTGGCTGCCAAACAAATACTAAACAACGTGGCGTCTTCAAACTTGACACATATGCTTTATAGGTTGCATACTTTCTAATACAATGCTATTTTTCAAACTACTATCGCCATCTCTAGGTCAGGCTGGGTACTTCTGGGACCACCCTCGTATAGAAGTCTTAGCACTATAGATTCATCTGGAAACTCGTCGTCTAGCCATTGCCGAACATAGTGAGGAGGAGTCTTGCTGGAAATATATTTCAGCCTCATCAAGTATAGGGTTTCCATCGCTGATTTGGTTTTCAATGGTTTCAGTGATAAGCGGATTGATGGTATTTTCCAACATATCCAAATAAATATCTCCTTCAAATTTCCATTAATAAACAATGGCCCAATCCCTTTGTTTCCTAAAATGCCTGCCCATACATTAATTGTCTGGGGTACTGGGTATGCCCTTAAACAAAAGCATGAGGATTTTCATCGCTACAATACCTGCAGTTATGCTTATTATCAAATCCATTTAGAAAAAATGTGCATTTATCACTGAAGCAGATATTATTTGCATGAATAGTATTATCATTAATCGCTGCAGTCATTTGTTCACAAAACACAACTCGCCTATCGAAATCATCTTCGGTTAACTCTTGCAATATTTCATTTTGAATGGATGAAATTTAGGGTATTTAGTAACTCTATGTACAGAGCCTAATGAAGTCGCAAAATGACCCAAAACTTTAACTTGAGCGGCTTCATCCAAAACTCTCCGATAATCAGGTTTTTTTATTTGCAACAGAACCAATTTGAGTAAATTTAGTAACAAGGTCCAAAAGATTGCTCAGAGTAAGGATAAGAAATCTTTGTGGCGAGAACTTAATTCGCTTAGTATTAAGTTACAGAAGTCAAATATTCCTATTGATTTGCAAGATGTGGAACATATAAATAACTTTTTTATTGACAGCATACCTGGTGTGGCGTCTGGTAATCATATTACTTTATATTATGATTAAAACAAAATATGTAATTTAGAGTTCAATTTCAAATTGGTATCTGAGCAAGACGTATTTGACGCATTAAGTAGGATAAAAAACACCAGATCAGGAAATGATGGCATTAGCATACATCTCGTCAAATTGTGTGTCCCGTATATTTTACCATATTTGGTACATCTTATTAGTACAATTTTTCTTGAGGGAAAATATCCAAAGTGCTGGAAAGTGGCCTTAATAGTGCCAATTCCAAAATTCCATAAGTATTACAGCTGGTCTGTCGAAAGTGGTTGAAAAAATTATTGAAATACAATTAAGAACACATATTGACAGTCAAAGTATCCTACCTAAAACACAGTCAGGCTTTCGTCCAGGATACAGTTGCATCACTGCACTTGCTAAAATAACTGATGATATCATTCAGTCGAATGATCTGGGTGAGTCTACCGCTTTAATACTATCAGATTTCAGCAAGGCATTTGTCACAATTAGCCATGATGTCTTGCTGTCTACCTTAAAGTCATGTGGATTGTCTACTGACAGCGTAAAACTTTTTAATCCATACTTAAGTGGCAGATCACAATGTGTACAATTGAAAAATGAAATATCTAGTTCAAAGCCCACTACCACGGGTGTACCGCAAGGATCTATACTTGGACCTTTGCTCTTCACTATATATACTAGTCAGATCCTTACATGTCTGGAATTCTGTAAGTCACACGTTTATGCGGATGATGCCCAGCTGTACTATTCTTTTCCTAGTTCAGATTGGCCAGCTGCCGAGTTGAAAATAAACAGTGACTTGATTAACCTCTCTAAAAGATTGCAAGAGCATTCATTAATATTAAATCCAAATAAATCAGCTGCTGTGATCTTTGGTAAAGACCGTTTTTATGTGATTGAGAATTTAAATATAACCATAAATTATATTAGATTAAAATGCATGTTTAGATTGTGATACATTCATGCGAATACAGAGAATACAGAACTCCTGCATACGTTTTATATATGGCATAAGAAAATTTGAAAGAGTTAATCATAAGCTGAAAGAACTCCGGTGGCTCGTTTTGAGATATTCACAATATGCTCTTATCATAAAATTTTAACCCTCAGGTAGCCACATTACCTCTACGAGAAAATAACATTCAGAAAAGACATCCATTCCGTAAATATTCTTTCGAAACAAAACATTACCGCTCCATTCCACAGAACTAAATTTTATGAAAGATCATTTACATATAATATATACATAAGCTATACAATCCTATCCCCCAGTATCTCAAATCATATGAAATTCATAAGTTCAAAGCGGTTTTGCGTGATTCTTACCTTGAATGTATAAAGTAGAATTATTCTTACTGCTGCTTCGCAATTTCAATTTTATTTTGTTTGCATTCCATTATTTTATTTTTATTTTTTTCCATGTTGATGAAAAGAATGTGGAAAAAATTCGGGTTGTTATTTGGTTGTTGCCATGTCTAATCTTCCGAATTGCTGTTTAAGTTGGTAGTTTCCGTTTTAAATTATAAAATATAGGAGAAGTAACTCTGCTAGCAAAACAACCGCACGCGTTTATGTTTGCTCTTCGTATTTGGTCAAATAGCTCGAGTAAGACTAGAAGTAAAAATTTCAAGTAAAAACTAAATCACTCGTTATAACATCACACACCCTGTTCTTGAATACGCAACCGATGCAACACCACGATCTGTAATTATGAGTGATCCAGTTTGCAGTTATTGTGACTCCTCTATCAGTGCTAGAACAAAAAGTGTTAAATGTGAAGGTTTTTGTGGAAAATTTTTTCATGCCGCTTGCCAGGGCTTATCAGCTGATGTAGTAAAAACCATTGAAAAGAGAAACGGTTTGTCGTGGAAATGTAATCCGTGCCAATCGTATACCAGCGAAGTGCACGAGATTCTAGATGCTAGACTATCCAGCTTGGTAAACGAAATTCATCAGCTATTTTCTAGTGTTCGTTCAGAAATTCTGGAGATTGCCGTGAAAAAAATGAGTACTGTTGAGTTACCTGAGATCAATGATAAGAAATCGTATTCGGCTATTACGAAAGGAAAATCGGCAATCATCATCAAACCTAAAGATGCAACGCAAAATACACAAGCCACTAAAGCTGACATGCTTCATCACGTGAATCCAGTCGCAGAAAATCTTCAGCTTTCCGGTGTCAAGAACGTAAAGAATGGGGGGATCCTAATTGGTTGCAATTCTGATGACGACAATCTCAAGCTCAAGAAAATTGCTGTGGAGAAGCTTTCTGACAAGTACGAAATCAAGGAGGTTGCTGGATTCAGTCCTAGAGTACGGGTTGCGGGTATGACTGAAAAACAATCTGCGGAAAACTATTAATTCCATTAAGTCTCAAAATAAAGATGTGCTAAGTGAGAAATTTGAATGTAAGGTTATAGACATTAAGCCAATCAAGAAAAGAGTTGACATTTTCCAAGCCATACTTCAATTAGACTACGGTACTTATAATAAAATTATGTCTGTCAACAAGGGTAAGTTATTCGTGGGGTATGATGTTTGTGGCGTGTATGATGAGATTTCTATCAAGCGATGTTTCAATTGTAGTGGTTTCTCCCATGTTTCTGGTCAATGTAAGAGCCAAACTCACTGTCCTCGGTGTGGCGATAGCCACTTACTGAAAAACTGCAAGGCCACGAACTTAAAATGTATTAACTGTGTTAGAAATAATCTAGATAGAAATACCAACTATGACATGTCACATGCGGCTTGGGATTCTAGGTGCCCATGTTACTTACAAAAAGTTGAGGAGTTTAAAGCTAGGTTATTTTTTTCTTAGTTCGGATTTTCCCGATGAAATCCCTTATGAACAGTTAAATACTCAAAATTTTGTAAGAGTTTCTACTTCTACCTTTTCTGATCGTCGCATCTCTGTTTACTACCAGAACGTACGCGGTATGAACTCTAAGTGTAAAGAATTCTTTGTAAATGTCGCTATGTCTGACTATGATATCATCTGTTGTACTGAAACTTGGCTGCAATCTGCAGTACTTAGTTCTGAATTATTTACTGACAAATATGTTGTATTTAGAGCGGACAGAAATTTCTCCGCGATGGGGTGTTCTAGAGGAGGTGGTGTCTTAATTGGTATTCGTAATCAACTTGCTGCATCAGAGGTAAATATGACTTTTATCAGAGACGATATTCCCAGTATTGACATAATTGGAATCAAACTTAGATATAAAAATGAAGTGACTTATTTCTTTGTGATATACATACCGCCTGACACGAGTACTTCCTGCTATGAAAGATTCTTTGAACATCTAGAATCGCTTGATTACCTCTTTGGCAAAAGTATTTATATACTAGGTGACTTTAATGTTCCCGAATTTGTTAATGAAAATCACCTCCAATCTTCTCACAAGCAGAAAACAATTCAGTCATTTATGGGTTTCTTCGATCTTTCTCAATTCAATGATGTTCGGAATGAAAATAATAGGCTATTAGATTTAGTGTTATCAAATAAACAATGTAGCGTCGTTAAGGCTTATGATGACCTACTACCTGAGGATGTTCACCATCCTCCGCTTGTCATGATAATCAACATGAGCTTCCACTCTAAAAAGAGTATCAAATGCGCCAGAGAATCATATAATTTCAGAAAAGCCAATTTTGTAGCACTATATGAACAAATAAGCTTGGTTAATTGGACGTTTCTTGACAATTTAACAGATGTAAACGTAGCTTTGGAAACATTTTATAACATTCTTCGTAAAATTTTTAATATGTGTGTCCCTAGGACAAGTCTCAGATCTCTCAAATTTCCAGTTTGGTTTAACGGTGAAATGATTAGAGACATTAAAAGAAAAAATTTGCTACACAAAAAGTTTAAAAAGGATAAAAGTTTGATCACATACACTGAGTTCAAAGACTTAAGGACCAAAATTAAGCGCGATGAGCGTAACGCATATCAAAAATATCTAGTAGATATCCAAAGTAGACTATCTCAGGATCCGAACAATTTCTGGTCATTTATCTGTAATAAAAGGGGACAAAATTCCACAATCAGCCAAGTAAACTATAATGGTAAGCAGTATGACAAACCCAATGAAATTGCTAATGCTTTTGCGCTATTTTTTCAATCTGTATATACTATGCCTTCGAACGCAACTGATATCAATATTTCGGACTTGCATACTAACATAATACTTCAGAGCTTTTCCGAAGAAGAAGTTTTTACAGTGTTAAAGCAAATGAAAAATAAATTTACCTCCGGACCCGATGGAATTCCATCGTTTTTAGTACGTGACTGTGCCTACGTCTTAGCTCATCCCTTGACAAAGATCTTCAACCTATGTTTGAAGACTGACACGTTTCCTGAAATTTGGGGCGAATCAAAGGTGCGTCCCATTTTCAAGAAGGGTGATAGACTACAGGTTGAAAATTATAGACCGATAACCCTAGTATGTATCTTTTCCAAGGCCTTAGAAACTTTGCTTCATAATTTCCTATACCACAATACACATGCCCAAATAAGTACTTCTCAGCATGGCTTTATGAAGGGTAGATCAACCATAACTAACCTAGCCTGTTTTACCCAGTCAGTCTCCTCTGCATTAGATGCTAATAGCCAGGTGGATGTAATTTATACAGATTTTAGTAAAGCATTTGACAAACTTGATCACAGTATTCTGTTAACGAAGCTGAGCTATTTTGGATTCTCCCCCAAGCTGTTATCCTTTCTTAAGTCATATCTATCAGGAAGAAAGCAATATGTTGAATATGAGGGTGTCAAATCCATTGAATTCTTTCCAACCTCAGGGGTACCTCAAGGCTCCTGCTTAGGTCCTTTGCTTTTCATACTGTTCATAAACGATATTGTTAGTGACATCGACAGCAGCCACTTAATCTATGCTGATGATCTGAAAATTTTTTCCAATGTCGACTGCAGCACTGACTGTGCTCACTTACAAAAAGACCTAGCCAAAATAGTTAAATGGTGTGCTGTAAATCGACTTCCAATTAACTACAGTAAATGTAGTGTTATGTCTTACACCAGAAAGCTAGATATTATTACATTTGACTACAGAATTGGCAATCATTCTCTGCTGAGAGTACAAGAATGCAAGGACCTGGGTGTGATTTTCGACATGTCACTTAGCTTCAATCCTCATATTGAGTACCTTATTAATGCTGTTAACAGATTATTAGGATTTGTAATACGTAACTCAAAGGAATTAAGTAACAAAGATGCCATGATTATGCTTTATAATTCATTCATACTGTCTAAATTAGAATATGGACGGCTAATATGGAATCCATGCTATGTTACAACTTGTGGCTCTCTGGAGAAGATTCAGCGGAAATTTCTGAAATTTCTTTCATTCAAAATTGACGGTACGTACCCACCCATTGGGGTCCCACAGGAAGACCTGTTACGGAAGCACAAGTTTATCAGTCTTGATAACAGAAGAAAGATTCACTCGCTAATATTCCTGCATAAAGTAGTGCATAGCAGTTATGATTGTCCATCATTTCTAGCACAGATTAAATTTAATGCTCCAAAATTTGTTACTCGCAATACACTCACTTTTTACCTACCTACCCCACGAACTAACTTACTGTTGCACTCACCTTTGTACTCGATGTGTTCATGTTATAATTGTCTACAGAGTACATTTGATTTGTTCAACACAAGTATTTCGAACATTAAGAGAGTTTGCAGTGAAATGATTAGTTTTTAGTTTTCGTTATATTTTTATATGTTTTTTTACTATTTCTATTGTTGGTTTGCCACCAGTAATTGGTTAACACTGTTGGTGGTGGATTTCAATAAATAAATAAATAAATAAACGAATTGTAGATTTGGCAAACTCTAATGGGCAAAAAGCTACTACTCGATACCCCTTATGATTTAAAATTTTTAAGGGAATGACCCTGGGGGCCAAAGGTGAAAGGGGGTAAAGTAGTTTTTGAAAATTGTCCCACTTGAAAAATTTGTTGTCGGGTCTCGGCGTTTTTCCTTTTATTCGATAAATCCGGGTGGGAAGTTTTCAAATGAACACCCTGTATGGTTTTTCTGATTGCACATGACTCTGCTATCACCCCGTTCCATTTGCTCCATGACTTTTGCGACATCCTGTATGTATGGAAGAATAGAATAACCGCTTGCTCAAACATTACTGGAATTTGACCGTTTATATGAGCAGGATTCAAGCAACCAAGAAAGATATATCTGTGTCTGATGCAATATCAGCTGAAGTGAAGTAAAGCGATATTAGGTACAGTCATCTGCACCTGAAAGGGTTGCAATTCCTATACGAAGCTTACGCCCCATAGAAAATTTAATAAGCCTGAGAAGAGGGGTGCAAGCTTGGGAGGGGAAGGGGTACTATTACCAGCACGCCGACTTGGCAAGAAAGGAAAAAGGCAACGAAAAGCTAGTCGGTGGGCTGACGTGCCATCGTAAAAACACAATGGAGAAATTGTTGGCAAGCCAATTGTTGCTTGGTACATTTAACAAAATGGTATTTCCCAGAGGCCGTCGTCAGTCCAGCCCGGCCGATCGGAGACCGGGCTCCTGGCGGGAATACATGCGGTGCGAAAATGGCAATGTAATGGATTCGGACAAGGGCGGCGACAACGAGATTTTTGGGGATCTTCTCCATACTGAGTAACACGATTCCGCTCGCCTGGAAGTATAGGTCATCCGTTTCGCATTGGTATGAAGGAGAATGAAATTCAGTATTAAAAGTAACATAATACTTACTTTGGCAATGCACATTTTTATTTAGTATTAATGCAACAATAAATTAGTTTCGGTCACCCTCATATCCTCGCCAAAAGTGAGGAATTCATTTAAAAATATAAAAGAACCTTGAATGTCATGGCCACGCTTTCGCCTTATTTTGGACGAATTTTTTTTACTCCGAAGCAGCCGCGCAGGCGGAAACCTAAATACCAGGGCATCGCGGCTGCATGAGGAGGTTAATGAAACTTTGTTAATTCAATTTTTATACTGCCTAAGGTTAGTGGAACAGGGGAACGCCTCCTCATGTAGATTGATCCCCTATCTCGATACTCTACTTACAAAGAAGCGGACGTATTGACCAGTTCTGGATGTACGAAGTTCTACAAGGTTAAGATGTGAGGCCGGAGTCAGTGGGGTAAGTCTGGCAGGAAGAGAGCTCTGAGGAGCAAAGCCCCTTGGCTTAGTGGTAGAAGAGAGCTACATAGATCGCCGCCGGTGGTATGGTTCCAAGACTCTCCGTTAGAGAAGAGTTATCGTTCAGTCGGACAGACCTACTATGAACAGCATCGAGCAGCATGGATAATGTAGTCGGGGCGGCAGCACCAAACATGTGAGCTGGGTCTGATCTGGG